AGGTCCACACAGGAGAGTCAAGTAGCAGTTATTGGGAAGAAATGGCATGATTAGAAAGAGGTAGGACCTTAGTTTAGCTCTTTTTAACCCATTCAATTTGAACAAAACATAAGATTTCCCGCTTACTCTGAATGGGGATGAAGAAATTATTAACCTGACAATCTTGATAGTTTACCAGAGAGTTGCCATGGCCGGGGCTAAGTGGCATTTTAAGAGAGCTATGGCGTGGAGTAGACCACTTGTGTCAGGGACTCAGTGGGCAAACTGGACCTGGCAGGTGGGGTCTATTCAGCAAGGAGATTCACTGGTTCCTGATTACATTAAGAGAGGACATTCTCCAGGTTCATCAACTGCTGTCCTTAGTTTAAGATTCCTTAAGGATGAGCACAAATGGTAACCAAATAGAACAGGAACCACAGGGGCCAGGGGACAGTTCCTGGGCCTGCGTTTGAATTTTGGAAACTTTGGCTTTCCTCCACCATAAGGTCGCAAAGGCTCTTTTTCTCCGCAAGCCCAGATACAACTTTGGAAAGAGCTAAGGGTCAGGGAGGGGATCTGAAAGAATGAGCAGTGATCCATAAGAGATCTGGAGATTAAGCTGCGCCAACAGGGGATTACTCCTTGTGTCTCAGAATGCTCTCTATGTAATTCTGGTTGTTTGTCTGTTGTCCTATTTATGCTAAACATAAAAGAGTGACCTGAGCCCTTAGCCCTTAGCAGTCCAGTATCACTTATGGATAAAACATTGCAAAACATCAAGAACTCATAGGAGAAAATGGGAGAGGCTCTCCTTGGACAGAGTGAGAATTTTAGGGTTGGCTGGCCTGCTTCACTCAACAATTTTCATGATTTTCCCTCAACTTAAGACACGAGGCATTTGGTGGACAGAATTTTCACCTCATCCTTGTATAGTCCTTTTCCCCTCTGAGTATGGGTGAAACCTGTAAATATCCTCGTCCCATGACTATGTTGTTACATGGGCTTTGTCTAATCGTATGATCCCTTTACAAGCGGGAAGTTTTTTTTCTGGCTGGTAGCAGAAGGCAGAGGTTCAAAGCGTGAGGACTCAGCTTGTACTTCCTGGCTTTGATGATGGCGGGAGCCATTTACCCAGGAATACTGGCAACCTTTAGGCACTGAGAGGAATTTTAGTTTACAGCCAGCAGGAAGTGAAGACCTTAATCTTACAACAGCAAGGAACTGAATTCAGCTACCACCTTGCATGAACTTGGGTGCAGAGTCTTCCCTAGTGCCTCCAGATAAAAGCCCTGTCCAGCCAACACTTTATTTTTGGCCTTGTGAAACCCTAAGCAAAGAACTTAGCTGGACTACACTGTACATCTGACCTGTGTAACTGAGAGTAATAATAACTAAATGTTGTTTTGAGCTGCTAAGTTTGTGGCAATTTGCTATGCAGCAATAGAAAACTAATACAAGGCCAAAGGTAAGGTTCTGGAGCAAGCCAAAGTTGGGGAAAATTGTGTAATGTAATGACAAGGGAGAAATTTCATATAATAAAATTGATGCAAATCTTTGAGGCAAGTTTGAGGTGCTTTTGCAACTTTGGCTGCTCCAGGGTAATAAATCTCCCTAGTAATGCTGAGCTGATTGGTCTTTAATTTTTCTTAGGCTCCCAAAAAGTCATGATTACTGAGAAAGGAGTTGTAGTATCAATTAGACACATCATTTGTGACTTGCTTGTATCTTAGAAAAAAAAATACATTATAGACATCACACTGTTCCTCCTTTGTGTTACAGTGTATCTCAGAGCCTGTGTTTATAGACTGATTCTTTGAATTTCATCTAGAAGAAGTTCATAAAAGAATAACTATTCTAGAATCAATAATTACATTTTCAAATATAATTTTTTGGAGGGGCAAGTGGTCAAGAACCAAACCTTGATTATTTGTGAAAGTAGCTTTATTTGTTTATTTTTGATTACTAGGTAATCCAGACCTCTGATTAAACATACAGGTTATGTAGATCCATTTATTCTTCTTCTGCAAAAATTACTGTGAAGGTATCAGAGGTATGAACCCAGAATGAAAAAAAGAGGAAAAGGTAAAAGCAAACAAGAAATAGCAACAATACTTTGGAAGATAGAGCATAGATGGATGAGTGACAGTTGACTTAACAGACCAAAGAAAGCTGAAAACTAAGCCTAGATAATCAAATGGGGATCTGGATCAAATAATGATACTATAAGTTGTCCAAGGTCTATAGTCTTTTACTTTACATGTATAATTTCTACTGGAGGATGCACTCTACTAAATTGTGAGAATAAACAAAATAGTTGGAAGATAAATTTTCCGGAAGACAGAGTTACCCAAGGTAATATCAATGTGACTGGCCCAGAGAAGAGAAGGAAGACAGTCCAGAAGAACATCCTTTGAGAGATGCTTATGAGAAGAATTAAGCTTGTGAACACCTGATGTGTTTAAATATATTGAGAGGAGAATCAAAATTCTGTGGGACAGCTTAGGGGATGAATTAGAGACAATATTTGTAAAATTAAACCAACAAAGACACAAGGCAACTGTTAACTCCAGTGAAAACAAAAAGTTGTTCAAGAAAGGAGATGTAATCAGAGTTCACTAAGTGGTTTACAATGAACAGCATTTACATGGTTATAGTAATATAAACATGAAGGTTAATTTAAACAAAAAGAATGAGAAAATTATATGAACAAGAGGAGATAGAAAATTTTGTAAATAGGTGGGTCTTTTGTTCCAAATATTCTAAGGGATTATTGTTTGTACATAGCACCAGTCAAAATGAATTCTGTAATTGCAGAGGAAGTTATGAGAAATGGGCCAAAAATGAAAATGATGTAACAGAATTCAAATTCAGTCTAAAAGTGTCGGGGTATACTTTGAGTAAGGGGAGATCCAGTATTGCCTGATCTTCTGATTTTTCAAAAGAAGACAGATTGCTAGACTTTTATGTGAAATATCCTGATTTTAAAGTATTAGATCAAAAAATTTTTAAAATGTTGAGATCAAATAAAACAGGCCAGTTGTACTATAAAAAAGCCAGTTTGCTAACTCTAACACGTATAAAAACTATTGATTTTTGTCTGGTTATTTTGTGATCATCCATCTCACTGTATTATCTTAGTCTCTGTTAACAATTTTCCAATTGATGTCCTTAGATTTTCATGATATAAAATCAGATAGTCAGCAAGTGATAATTTTTTCCTCCTTTCCATTTTTTCCTCATTTTTATTGTCAATCACTTGTTTTATTGGACTGGGCTCAAACTTGTAGAAAAACATAAATTAATAGATCTTTAAGAGAGAACTTGAAAATTTCCTGGAGGCAGTCTATTTTCCATCTTCATTTTGTTATAAATTTCTGTTTTATTGTATTGTTAATAAAGAATTTAATTTTATTTACATATTTATTTTTAAAAATTGAGGTTTTTGGTTAAAAATCAGTTTTAAAAGTGTTCCATGGGCATGTGAAAATGAGGCGTATTTCATCTTTTTAAAGTACTGGATTTGTTGTACATCAACTAGTGACAGACCAAAGTGCAGGGTGCAATGGTTGCTAAGCTACTATTTGACCAAAACTAAGCATGATCCTTAAAAAAATAAAAAATAATGAAGTAAACCTTAATATAGTTTTAAAGATTGCATTTTCAATTTTAAAGAGCCAGTAAAACCCCAAAGGGGGCTTCAAAGGAAAACATTTCTTTCCTTAAAAAATTTAACATGGTTTCTACCTGAAATGATTTTCCCTCTGATAAAAGATCAAACTGTAGATCTCCTTGTAGAGTTGCTAGTTCATAATGAAAAGCGCTGAGCACTAGAAATTTAGAATTAAGGCTCTTATACCTCAAAGTTTTCAGGCCCCAGAATATACATTTTTAGTATAATACTAAAAATTACAATCACATCAAAGGCCAGAGTGGCCGGGCCTGATTATTGACAAGTAATTAAGTGGTAGATTAGTTGCCACATTTGCATCAGAAAGCAGTGTGATCTTGAAATAGGGCATGAGTTTTCTGTTGCTCCCAAGGCTTGTTGACTCTGCTAGTGGGCATGTGGGATGGCTGGGTGAATGGGTGGGGGGGTGGAGGAATTCGCAGCTTTGGGTAAATTTAGGGAGCTTGACAGAGATGATAATCAACACAAGGAGAGGACTAGATATTAAAGATCAAATTTATACCTAGACTAGGAAAAAAATCAAGGGAAGTGAACAATGGTTTGTAATGCCCAGAAAAAAGGGAGACTTTATTTAAAGTAACACTTCAGGACAGAATCCAGACAATTTACTGATGACACTGTTTGGGGAGCTCTGGGAAAGAAAGGCATTTCCCCCAGACCTGCTGCCCAGTCACAGAGTACTTTATTTTCTCCGTGATCAGAGCAGGTGAAGGAAACACATCATTCTGCTTTTAGATCTGGGTTAGAAGAAAGAACTAGAGGGAGGGGGCTACAGCTACAAAAGTTTGAATGATCTGCACTTCGCTTTTTTCACATTCAGCTAATGTTTGGATCTCTCTGAAAGAAAAAAAAATGTGGAGTGACTGAAACTTGAGAAACGAAAGGTAACGAAGATACAAAATTAACGTGATTTTTTAATTTAAACAAATGACGTGAATTCTAGGCATGCATACCTCTGCAGACTCCTAGTGGAGCCTGGGAAACACTGCAAGTCACACCACCACTGGCAATCTGTAAATCCTCTCACAGAGGGAACATAGGTAGGAAACCGTGGATAATCAACCGTATTACTTTCCTGTGGCCTCTGTAATAATCACAGACTTGACGGCCTGAAGCAACATGAATTTATTCCCTCGTGATTCCAGAGGCCAGGAGTTGGAAATCAGAATCACTGGGCCTAAATCAAGGGGTCAGCAGGGCCGTGTTCATTCCAGAGTTTCTTCTGCTCCCTCTAGGGGAGAATCGATTTACAGCCTCTGCTAGCTTCTGGTGCATGCTGGCTTTCCTTGGCGTTTTGAGCATCTAGAGACCGCCCATGTTCCATGGCTAATGGTTTGTATTCTGGGTATACAAACCATTGTTCACCTGCCCTGACTTTTTCCTAGTCTATCCATCAATTTTATCTTTAATATTTTAGTCTCTCCCTGTGTTGATTATCATCTCTAGTCCCTTGTCTCCATCTTCAAGATCACAGCACAGCATCTTCAAATCTGTCTTTCTGATGAGATCACATCTCTTCTCTTCTGTCTCTGTGTGTCAAATCTCCCTCTGCCTCTCTCTTATGAGTGGATATGTTATGGCATTTTGGGCCCACCCAGATGATACGAGATAAATCTCATCATCTCAAGATTCTTAACTTAATTATGTCTGCAAATATACTTTTTTCTTATTAGGAACATTTACAGGTTCTAGGGATTAGGACCTGATATCTTTAAGGGGACCACTGTTTAACTAGCCCAGCACAGTCTACTGTCAGGACCCTAAAGATTCACATTCATCCCAACACAAAATACATTTCATTTTATCCCAACATCCCCAAAGTCTCAATTCACTGCAGCATCAAGTCCCAAATCTCATTTATATATCATCAGCTCAAAAGTCCTAAATCTCATCATCTAAATGATATAAATCAGGTAGGAATGAGACTTGGGGCATGATTCACCCCGGGGCAAAATTCCTCTCCATCTGTGGACCTGTGAAGCTAAAAAACAAGTTGTCCTATCCCAGAACACAATGATGGAACAGGCCTAGGGTACCCGTTAGAAATGTTTTCATTCCAAAAGGGAGAAAATGGAAGGAAAAAAGGAGTTAGCAGTCCCAAGCAATTTTGAAATCCAGCAGGGTGACCTTCATTAGGTTTCAGGGCCTGGGATGACCCTCTCTGTCTCAAGGCCGGAGGTTTCACCCTCTGGGCTGTTTTTCCTTTTTCTTCAAGAGTAGTACATGTTTGCAGCTGAGTAGTTTATCAGTCTATGATGCTAGGTTCAAATTTTTTAAGGTCTTCCTTGAGAACAAGAG